GAAGGCTCAGTGAGGGGACCCAAGCTACAACTATCCTACACAACAGAAGTACAGAATGCAAGCACTGGAACATAGTCAGAACTTGCAGAACAAGCAGAGAGAGAGAGTGAGACAAGAGTAGAGTATATAGAGTGAGCCTAAGAGTACAGGACTACCTGGAGTAGACAAGATCAAGACTACTGGACCAGTCTGATCTTGTACACCTATATATACTAAACTACACAAGAGTACTCAGGGAGTATGAGCCACTAAGAATGATAAACCACAAAGAATGAAAGAAAGGAATGTCAAAGATAAAGGTACAAAGAATGAAGGGATGGACAAAGGGTAAGAGACCATAGAATGAACAAAGAATGAAGGGGTGGTCAAAGGAATGGAATGATGAAGTAAGGAAGGGTAGTGGCAAGAGTCAGCATGCATATAGTCCATAGACAGTGCCCCTAAGGGACAGAAGTCCTGAGTTCTGGTACAGAAGGGTGCAAAACCCTCAGAACTGAAGGTACAAGAGCAGATAACTGTAACACTCTTTACACTTTTACAATTTATTATATATAGTTTATATATTTAACTAATTCTTTACTCTTTAATTGGAAAACTATTGTCTTTTTAAATATAATAAGCTTAAAAGTATACATTTAAAGCTTGTATAAGCTCTTTGTAAAGTATTCCTTATTCTCATTATTCCTTTTTATCTTTCTATATTTATTATTATTATTTTATACTTTTATTATTATTATTATTTTACTTTTACAATTTTTAATACTTTTTACATTATAAAAACTACTAATTTTATATAGTAGTTCCTTAGTTTTTTGACTCTTATTATATCCTCCTTGTTTCTTATATAATCCTGTTTTAGTAACTTAAAATATAGTTAGTATAAGGACTGTAAACTTAATTTACATTTAGAGTGTATTATTAACTTAAAAAACACATTCTTTTAGCAGTTTACTATACAAATATAATACAAGTAATTAGTTAAACTAAGTTTAAAAGTAAACAACATAGTGTATTGTTTTTTCTTATTTTTACAACATTTAAAAGACTGTAAGACTATAATACACATTTTAATATCTTTTACATAAAATAGTATTTAACTAATATATTACTTATTTACACTTGTTAAAAAGAAGTATAAATGTGTAAGTTATACATAGTATACTATAATCTAGAAATACACTAGAATGTTGTATAACTTGTATTGTAGAAACACTTGTAATCTTATTATATAACTTACTATAGTTTTAATAAGGTTTTAGTAAAAATTTATAAGTTTTAAACTTTAGTAAATTATTATAAGACTAAATATTCTGCCCTGAACCTAGTTATTTCTAGGTTTAGATAGACAGGATAGTTTCTAAGTCATGTATATAGTTTCTTTTTTTAAATAATAACAAATTTTGTTTATTTTAAACTATTTTAATTAAAGGTTTAGTATATATAATTTATATTTACACTTTTGTTACACTAGTTCTTATTTACTAACCATAATAAAGGTGTGTCTTATCCTGTATTACAGTTTTTATTTACTAACTATAATAAAGATACTTTTGTCCTATTAGTTCTTATGTGTTTTAAAGTTTTTAAGCTTAGTATTTTATACTTTCTTAGTATTATTCTAATACTAGAGTATTTTACTAAAACAGTAATAATATTCAAAACTTAGCCTATTATTACATTTATAATAGAGAATCATATTCTCAAGCTTTTATTCTTATAATACTAGACAGTATAATTATAAATATCTTTTAATATAATACTACAGAATATTTATAATTAATAGAATAAAATTTCTATATATTAGTTCAAACTTACTTCTTTCCTTTATACTACTGTCAGAACCAACATTAGCAATTGTAGAATCAGATTAAATGAATGTTTACATTCAAATAATATTCACTTGTATTCTTCTAATAACTACTAACTATCTTAGTTTATAGTTTTACTAGGTATGTCTTAGTATTGTAAAAGTGCACTAGGTAAGTGTTTTTTTGTTATATAACATCTATTGTATATAATAAATATTAAGGCCTTCTTATGATTAGTAAACCCAACTGTTTATTCAGGTTAGTAATAGTAAATAATCAGGTTTCTATAATATTATATAACAAGTGAATAATATTATAGTAACAAATATTATAATACATATTGTGTCTAGCTACAGTTGTATCTAAGTCTTACTTTCTTTACTCAATAATTACTATACTTGTAGACTGTACACACAAAATTAGTGTATAATCCTTTATACTTATCAAAATATGTACTTTAACATCATTGTTTACACTGATTCACACAATCCTTGTCTAATTCACTTTTGTTGACTTGAACCAGAACAAAACTTATACAATTAACACATTATTTGCCTTTCAGACAGTACATTCAGTTAATCTGATACTGAAAATGTGTATAAGAAGATTGGATGACTGTCATCTAATACCAGTATTAGATCTCTAATATTTGTATAGAACTCAACCCACTAATACCTGGTAAGGTTACTACTCTACAGAAAGGTGAAATACCTTTTACAAGTAGCTCTCAGTGTTACAAAGATTCAAACAGAGATCTAGCATTCATCAAGTATTGATAGTTGCACAACTGTACACGTCTGAATTGGTGTAGTATACCTTCCTTCACCTAACCTAATCTCTAAGTTTCAGTGACAGAATAATGAACCCTGCTCTCAAGACTGATAACTGGCAGCTTTGCCTCAGGGACTGAAGCGGAAGATCCTAGATGTAATTGGTGTTACTGCAAGGTGATCAAGTTGCAAAGGCAAGTTATCACATACTGTTGTTGCCAGAATCCATTATTAGCATTGTTAACAACTCCAGTCGAGGCTCCGGGCTCGATACAGTCCTGATACAGAACGCCAAGGTCGGATCTCTAATGAAGACGCGCAAGTATTTATAATGTCAGCTTTCGTCTGAATGTGAACAAATACAATAATATTGTAAATTCTCACCAGTTCATCCCAGCAATATTCTATGCTCGTTGCTCCCTTGAAGGTCCCCAAGTTGACAAATTCCACTGCACAAGTCTGGAAAGTGAGGAGGTCCATAGAGTTGTTTGCCACCAAGAACGTTGCACCAGTTTGTTCGGCAACGACTTGCAAGCCATCTAACAGAATTGTACAGTCATTTCCTGTAGGTGCACTGCCGGTCCAGTTTATGCAAGTTCCAGAAGCTAATATATGAATCGAAACAGATAAGCATCCATTTATTTACAATGATGAACAATGTGTACTTTGTTGACCACACTAACACTCAGGAACACTTCTGCACTCGGCGACAGAACGATGCGAAATATCGTTAGTGACATTATCTACTGTACTTTTGGCTGCTAATGAGGCTTTGGATAAACTGTCATCTGGACACGCGAATGTGCTGTGCTGGATCGTGTGGCCACCGACGTTGACTGCTCTCGAGTCTGTGAGAAACGCTGATGGGCATAGGTCCAGTCCAGGTGTTTTCGGACGACGAGAGTCAAGCCTAGCACCGAGAGCACTGAGATGCAAAGAGACGAGCAGGATTGTTGTGAAGAGCATGGTTGAGGTTTTTGCAGTCGTAGAGAGACGACCTGAAGTCTTAGCATACCTTCGACGCTGCCTTTATACCGTCCTTTTTCTCAAGACGGTGCCCGCTAGAACTATTTACTATATCAGAATGATACAGTTAATTGTCTAGACTTTGCTTGAAGGTATGCAGTGGAGTAGACTTCTTGTATTTGGTTCCGTGACATTCGGAGATCTAGGTGTCAGTCATGATCAGGGATCTTCTTCAATATGCTCCGATCTTCCATCATGGAGCAGTCCCAGAACATAGCCACCGAGGATCCTGATATTTTCAGTGTAAAAACGATATGGAACTGAGGCGTCAGTTTGTCCACAGCTGGAGAAGGCGGACGAAAGTGCGGATATACAAATCGTATATTGCACATCGTTGGTGTGGAAAGAATACTCATATTTAACGTCGACTCCACTTGAAAAATACCGGGAGCCTTACAAGAACTGTTCAAGTGTTCGATTTCTGGGCCATCAACAGGTCCATCGTAGCAAACTTCCTTCGCAAGTTCCTTTCTCCGAGACAGGTGTGCTCCGATCACGAAGACTTCTAGACCTAGTACACTCAATGAGTCCCATATCCTGAATATTCCCTAGGCAGAAGATGATGACGGAAACCCTCCAAATCCTTCTTAAAAAGGAACAACTGTCTTTTTGTTGGTTTAGCCTTACTTCTCCCTTTTCAAGAACAAGTGGGGCTGGGAACAACAAACATACCTATGAAAATGGCAACGTGTTGGTGCACTCCTGACCTAGGCGTGTACATCTACGATGCACGAGAGCTCAGTTCGGCTGGCTAATCCCCTAAGCGCTGGCAATCATTCATAGACGAACCGTCTTTGTTGCATGACTAATGTGGTATTGAATAAACGCAATGTTTCTCCCTACAATCAATAAAGCCCGTGTGGTATTGAGCTGTGACCAATTGTATTATGTTACAATTGTATCAGGTCGTATTCGATGATTTCGATTCGTCATTTTGCGTTATGGTCTTATGGAATGGGGCGGCCCCTAACCTAACCTCCTCTATAGTACTGGCTTCGATAGATGATGCAAGCAGTGCATTTGAATACTTACTAGTTATGCTGAAGCCACGGTTCCATGTTGAGAAAAATTATTGGGCCATTCGGGTTGGATCAAAACACAGAGGATTTTCACGTTTGTGAAAGTAGTGTTACAGCAAGTCACACAATTACGTGATGTACGTCACATCGTGTCTTGATCACTCTTGCTCTCTATTTAAAAAAGAGACGCCTTCAATTTGCTCGGCTTCTGCGGAGAACTCACTCGTCTCCTTTACCTACGATTAGCTACAGAGCCCTTTTTTTGCTTCTGTAACCACCCTTTACTGTGCTCTTCATTCTGATAAATGCTATCCTCGTCCGAATCGTCGGTCCGATACATTTTGCCATCTTGAACTGGAATAGATTCTTCATCATCTATGTGGCTCATTGAAGGTGCATTCGATCAAGCAGGAATCGTGAACTTGGAACAGAAGAGTGAGCAGCTGATGTCCAGTGTCGCTCCTGGGGTTCGTTCTCATGTCTATTTAGAGCTCAAACTGCTAAAACCTGGCAGAAGTTATCCGCTCGGCAGAAAGGGAAAACACCCTTTGCAACTAGTCCTCAGTCATCCGAAAATCTCAGGAGAACATGTCAGTTTTGTCGTCGGGGAGAGTCCTGTAGACTCTGTCGTAAGTCGCCAGTCAGGTTTACGAGTCATGTCGTGACAGGAACTTCGTAGAATGATCCTATATTTCGGCCTACATTGAAAGTACAGAATCATCGGAGCAAGGCGCTCCAAGTCAGCAGAACCACTGGTGGATCCGTCTCGAGATATCTATTGCAACCAAACTCTGAGGATGTGGTCCAGGATGGTGACTGTATAGCTCTGGTTACCGGAATATACATCAGGTGTGTTATCTCTTTTCCTTTACCTACATTTGCTAATCAGCCCGATAGTATATTTTGGAGGCCCGTCTGCTGCATTTTGCCACCGAAGTCTCCACAGGTAGCATTTCAGAGATGCGCTTCTTTGAGTGTCAAGGTTGTTTCGACACCTCGCCCAGAAATAACCCACCATCTGACTCCAACGCTCAGCATGACAACTCTTCTTGCGATATCTCTCCTCACGCGCGCTCATGTTGTTCGACCTGAATGGCTGAATGAGCTACTCTACTTAGGTGGAACAACATCTTCCGCTGATGGACCCTCTGTCCTCGAATCAGACTTTCGCCTACCTCCTGTAAATCAATATGTTCCAAAATATGATTCAACACTCCCAGCTTCACTGAAAAATCCCTCGATGTGGGAGCCAAATGAACGACGCACCGGTATGTTGAAGGGTTGGAGGCTGCTTTTTGTTGGAGAGAAAGGAAGAGAAGTGGACGCGGAAACTCGGGCTCTGGTCGAACGAGGTGGTGGAGAGTACGAGGTCTTTGATGTCTCTGGTGGATTAACTCGGTGGAGACAAGCGCTGTCAAGAACCAAGCGGAAAGCGGCATCAGAGGGCGGAAGGGGACTGAGCGTGTTAGGGGATCTTGATATATTGCAGATATCAGCTGGCGATTCTTGGAGCAGTATGTTAGAAGATTTGAAGAAGTAAAGTGTATTTTTTCCCCCCTCTGTTGTCTTTGTTTACCAGAGATTTTTTGCTTGAAATAGAGCCGAGTTATGCTTCGTTTCGCGATCTCAATTGCTAGAAGCGATCTTCTTCATCGACACCAAGCGTATCGACTCGTCTCTTATTGTTGCGACTGAAGTAGGTAAGACTTAGTTCACATCCTTTTATTATGACATTGTTATTGATTATGAAACAGACTCTCCGCTACCTGACATGGTTCCAAATACGCACGAAGAAATATCACTGACTTCCGTGGCCTCTCAAAGTGCTGCTGCGTCAGGATCAACGACACATCACGGAACAAATAAACTGGGCTCCCCATCCCGTAGCACTGACTTCGATGCTCACGCCGGAGATCAAGATGCGTCTGCGGGTGCAGGGCATCCAGTGCCACCAGTATCTGAACAAGAACCCGCATCACGCGCAAGTGAGGAGCCCGAAGGTATCCCTGGCAGACGTAAGGTGCGGAATATAACCTCCCGGGTTTCAAATGGCTAACAATCTTTTTAGCCGCTCGTGAGACGTGCTAGGACAAACGCAACGCAAAATGCAATTCTCGGTGTAGACGATCCTTCCTATGCTTCCTTCTCAGACTCTCAGACCCCTGCGCCTGAGGCGCGACAAGATGCAGCCACTGCAATTGCAACCGAGTCACAGGCGTTCGAGAAACCGCCATCATCTGGCGTGAGTTTCAATCACGACGGATGATCGTATAGCTACTAACTGACCCATACTTATTCAGACACAGGCTGGTCGTCCTGGTCGTTTGAAAAAGCGTGTACGGACTGATAAAGACTATAATCCTATCCTCGCGAGCCTTGAAGAAGAACTTGCGGCGGTATCTGCTCCTCCAGCAGAACAACCACCGTTAAAACGTTTTAAAGCCCTCTTCGACGAGACGGATCCAGACCGGGTGCCATCTCAGATGACGAATGGCGCCAGTGGAGGAATTCTGGACAGTCAGTTGTTCTCGCAATCTGAAACGGGAACAGGGAATGAAGTTCGAAATGAGGTGGGGGTGCCGGTGCCGCCCTTGACCGTAATACATGAAGAGGGTGAAGCTGCATCTATGCAAGCGGAAGGAGCACAAGAGAACGGAGACGTGGAAATGGGTGACTTGGATACAGCACCGCCGTCCAGCCAGCCACGACATAAGCCTACGTCAAAAAGCCAGCTTCCTGCATCTCAAGTCCGCGCAGGACCCTTTGATAGTACCCAGGTAGCAGGACGCGAGAAATCGAAAGGTGGAGCAGCACCAGGCAAGCATGATACGGATGCTGCATTCCTTCAGGCCCTCGCATCAACAAAGAAAGGTAAACGGCGTGAAGACGATTTCGATCGCGAGTTTAACAATCTGCGGATATCAAAGCCAGAAGTGGGTCAGGACGCAGAAGCTGAGGATTGGCATGTGCTAGCAGATTTCGGTGATGAGTCTAATATAAGGGGGAATTTCATGATCATTGTTGAGATGGATGTGGAAGGTCGACGAAAAGAGTCGAGCGCGGAGACAAGCAGGGCACAAAGCAGAGGTCCGGACTTCAAGAAGTTCAAAAAGGCAAGTAGATTTACATAGTCGGCTGTAGACTTTCGTCTGACTTGGATCTGAAACAGAAAACGACAGCTCACTTACGCCCTTCCGTCGAATTGGTCGCGGACGATAAAAATGATTACGGTGTGGGGCCTGGTAAGCATACTATTCGGATTTCGGCTACTTCGGACACTCATTGATGCCGCTTCTACTGCAGCCTATTGGAAGGGCTCACAAAGCCAACCTCAATCTCAAGGCGTCACACAGGGCGACACCACCTCCATCACTCAACAAGGATTCTTACAACCTAGCCAAGCCCAGAATCGCGGCTTCCTGCAGGCCAAACCAGGTCCATCCACTCAGACGATGAAGCCGAGAAGTCAGAGCCAGGCTCGAACGCAGACCAGAGCAATAAAGGCGGAGACGCAGGAAGGAGCCCGTCGAAGTAGGAATCGACCACTGCAGGTATTAAACGAAGGCGACGAAGACAACGAAGACGTGCAACCACGTGCAACAAGGCGTGCTGGCACCACGACCGGACGGAAAACGAGAAGTGGGAAGAGTCAACCGCTTTTCCTTAGCGATGAAGAGGATGAAGACGCTGTCGACGTAGAAAACGCTGACCATGCAGAAGATCGCGGCGATGTCGAGTTGGACCTTGACCTAGACGACTCTGAGATGTCCGACGAGGAGCCTCCCGGAACGGCTACGCTGCGTTCCGCAGCTGCATCCACTACTGGAGCGACGAAATCGAAAGCGGCAAAGTCGCCTACGAAACCGGGCTCGAAATCGAAGAAACGCGGCGCGGCTCTTCTTGACGATGATTCGGATACGGGCGTTGCGTTTAAGGGTTTCGGAGGGAGAAAGAAGACGAAAGCCAAATGAGCATACTTTTTCGTCTCTTACAGTATATTATCCTTTTCTCTCTTCTCAGACTTCTTCATTGGGCATCCATCTCTATACAGGACGCTATATAGTATTAAAGGAATCATCACAAATACAAGACCAATGGTTTGGCATCTCAGTCATTTGAATAACCTGGTATAATGAGGCTGGTTGTGTGGTAACTTTGAATATGAAACAGAATTCAACACATATTACAACACTACAAGATTCAACAATAACTGCTTTGTGATATCTCACTTGGCTTTTTTAGAAGTACAATCTGCATGTAATAAGTGATTTTATTCTTTTCTCTTGCACTTGTCAAGACTTTATTCAAAGCAAACAAAATTGATCTTTGAGGCAAATTAAATACATCTGCTATTTGGTACTTGGACAGTCCCAGCATGTCTTTACTAGAAAGTCCAAACAAAAATGACATGACTGTGTGAATGTTCAAATTAACAAGTTTTGCCTTCAGGTTGAGAAATCAAGCAATGTGCAATAGCATGTGTGTAGATTTAGATTATTATCCCTACCCACTCAATAAGACTAAGTTCTGTGTAGCCCATATTTATACTGTGTCTTATTAGTGATTCTGTGCAAATGAAGGCATTCATTTTCTACAAGTCTTATTACTCATACAACCATCTGTACTTTAATCTTACTGTTTAAAATGGTAGGGAACAGTAGTAGAGATATAATGTCAAACCAATATACCAGGGAATTAAAAGAAAAATAATCAGATATCATTCAAGGGGATTAAGAAAAAAAGGTAATGTAAGGAGGATTATTAGGAGAAAGTAAAATACAGCAAACTGCATCAGACGTCATGGAGTCCTTTCATGAATTATTATCTACAGCTTCTTCTCTAATATCTGCTGCCACCTGCTACTTTCTCTAATGCACAGAGACCAAGAAGGAGGCTGCACCTACCCTGCAGATGCACTACGAAGTTTGCATTGCTGGTGATCAACGAGACAAAGGCCGCAGTTCATAATTGTGCACTTCGTTCGGATTCGTACTGTCCGTATGACTAATACTTAACGAGGAAATGCGATTACCGTAGCCGACCAATACCGAAGCATTCAGATTTCCCGAAGTTCTTGGACTAGCAGATAATCTTGATTCAAATGTCCTGCTATGTGAATGAATGTGTAAGAGGACGCGGGTACAAAGAAGACTGTATAACACGTTGAGGCCTAATTAGCACGTGAATTAGTAAAGATAGTGGGAACAACCTATTGGAACTCACGTTGTCAACCAATTTGCAAAGTAGAGCTATGGAATATATAGTCAGATAAGCACGAGGGACAGATACTGGAACAATGCACCAGTGCAGCAACATGCATGATGACATTGAGGATCGAGAAAGCTATAAACACATGCTTGTGCAATTAGTGATCACAATGATAGATTACTACTCAGATTGAACAAACTGAGCAAACACAAGTAGTAGTAGAATAACCCTTTAAGAAATTTCCATGAGGATACTAAAGACAATTGACAAGACAGAGCCCACCATCTTTGTACAGCCTTTTAATTAGAGGTGAACTAAGGTCTCTAGGGAAATCTGGAAAGGGAGTTCAGCCACACTACAAAACAGACAAGAATGTTAGAAGAAATACAGTGTTTTCAGGCTTGGATCAATGACATGATAACTACAGCTAAAAATACAGGTCAGTAGAGTATATATGATAAAAACAGTCAGAAACAAACTTGTCTTACAAATTATAAACATTAGAAACACAAGAAAAATCAAAGGACTCACAGGCTTTTCTTGTTTACAGGTACCTTGCTTACTTCCAGTATCTGTCCAAGAGTGAAAACTAGATTAATAAGTATAGTTATGTTAACATGTATTATAATCAATAATACAATTATGGACAATACAATATTAGTAAATAATAATACAAATATGAACAAAATGGATGGAACAAATGCAGAATAATAAGACATGTATTGGATATGAAATATGTACCAGATAATGAATAATGATACTTTGGATATCTAAGACATACAGACAGACAAATAATATAAAAACAAACAACTTATTAATTATAATATATATTATAACAGCTCTATAACCTTATTGCTTGTGTGATAACCTAAGAATTAAGCATTCTAACAAGTTATTTGCTTAACATACAAGTAAGGGACTCAACCATAAACTGGACAATGACAACTCCTGGGATGAATGCAATCTGAATTGAACAAAATATTGTTAGCAGGATCATTTGTGAGAGTATTCAAAACCTTACTATGCTCAGTAGTATAAGAAAGATGAGTACAGCACGTTTTTGGCCCCATATTACATATGTTTGTACTATCAACATTACTGACAGTTGTCAACCTCAGTGAGCACAGGAGACAACTTGGATAGCATGTTGAATACATACACTCGGAAATAATCGCCCTAATAAAGATCAGCCCTAAATATTAGTGTTTAAAATTTAACATTATGTATAAATGCATCTAATCAGGCATACAGGCAACAATTTGAAACCTGAGAAGACATTCCTGGCCCAATGGTACTACAATGTCAGCATAATGTATCCAAATGTGATGCATTACATTTGAAATATTTACACAATCAGTGGATTTTCCAGTAAGCACTAACTCTGAAATGTACTGCTGAGAAATCAATCAAGCCTTCAGATTATACAAAGAAGCTCACTGTCCACAAAAGGAAGATACTGGTTGAGGGAGACAGGACCTAATGACAGAGAGATGAATCAAACTGGTTGTTGACCACAAAGTAGAGACCTGCCTTCACATAATTCCAACAAGATAGCTATATAAATTCAATCTGTAAAAAGTTAATGTCATTAATTAACCAATATAATATAACATGAATTAGCTGAAACCTCCTCATGGTACATGACAAAGAAAACATTATAAACCTGAATAAACAGAATCTGATGTCATTAGGACAATAGAATTGATACTAAACAACACACTAGTAATGTACTAAATGCAGCTGAGGAGATAATAAATTAAATGATAGATTATCAGTAGTATGAATGGAGGGACAGAAGTATACCTATTGTTTCTGCTATGAGGTCCTGGTATTTTGGTCATGATGTCACATAAAGTGATCCATTCAAATTAGCTGGTGTCCTGACAGGCTACATGGGTCAAAATGAAGTGACTTACAATCCCACCAATAGTAGACATCACTACACCCTAATTTCCTAGCAAGGGTGATGAATTGAACATTGATAATAGAGATGAAAGGGCAAGTCACTACTGACTCACCAGGCAGACCATAATGATTTTGTTCACAGGATTCTTTATGTATACCTTACAGTGTTTGCACTCATCAATGTTTGTCAATACAGTGCTTCATCAAACCAACTGGATGGTTGTTTGTTAGCTGAAAAAGAATCTGTTAGCATAGTCTGAAAATTGTTTACTGTTGATAAATACAGTACATTAGCTTTTCCACACTCTGGAGATACCACTTTAGCAAAGATTTGTTTTGCCTGATAGACAGTCAATCATAATATGCAGCATGTATAATAGTGACCTATTATGAGATGATTAGTTCATCAACAGACAAACCACAAGACAATGACTTCATAATGTCTCAGTTAGAATACATACAATATAAGGACAAGAGACACTGAGCAGTCAATCATCACCTCACCCCTTGTCTATGTATACCCCCCTTAAGTTTTCCCTCTCAACAGGTTATGAGCCTTGAGCTCCCTGCATACATGCATCCACTGTACACTCTAAACTCTTTACTTGTATACATTTGCACACATTCACATCATGGTTCCCCCACATACAGATACATACTGTAAACCAGCTAATGTACCTAAATACTTTGGTCAAAACATTACAATGCTTAAGACTGAAGCAAACTACAAGATGTGGCACTACTGTATTGTTTCTAGTGTTACAGCTACATACTTCAAACACTTACTAAAGGATGAACCACAGAATAAAGCTGAGAGGGAGATGGCTAAGGCCATTTATACATACATAGTTAATAACATTGCTGACACAATATTGGCAAACTATATACACTTTAATATGTCTATCCCTCAGTTAATGAAAGTGCTTAAAGAACACTTTAACCCCTAGACAGTATGTAAAAAGGCTATTGACAAATTGGCACTGTTTATTTGTAGAAACTATGTAAAACATTTCAGATGTACATTAGACAGACTTGAGGAACTATACACAACTCTGTCTACTAACAGTGATCCACCATGTGACTCTACATACAAAGCAGCAATATTGCTTACTACTCCTGAGCAATATACACACATAGTAAATACAATAATACAATCTACTAATGCCCAAAACAAAGGCAAACTAGTTGATGAACATAAGAAAGTTGAACCAAAGCAACTAATCCTTACATTGTGGAACACCTACAACAATTACTATACTAAATAGCACAAGATTCCAATGATTGGACAAAGAATAATGTACATGCTAATACAATGTATAAAGCTAATAAGTGGAGGAAATTCAATCTGCCAAATCCATTCAATCTAACAAAAGTGAAATGTTTCAATTGTGGAAAAACAGGACATTTCTCTAAGGAATGCTGTAAACCTCCTACTGAAGCTACAAAGCTTGCACACACCAAACATCAAGCTAACATTATGCATAAAACAAACCAAACTGCAGAAAACACAACAAACACATTTATTATTGAAAACCCAAACAAAAACAACATTGAATTAAAGGAAGGCAATGTTGAAATGAACAATAATGCCTACACTCTTATTCTGAGCAACCAGGACAAACAATTTGAACAATATGCTTCCTGGGTCTGTACCAATGTATTTACAAATACAATCATAGCTAACAAGAAATCCTATACACAAACAATGGATTTACTCAATTCTGGTGCATTAATACATACTACTCCTTATCTATTTCAATTAATGGATGTACACAACATAACTCCTACAATCATAACTATTGTAAATAGATCAACAATGACTCTTAATCAAGCTGGATCTATGTGTATTGAAATCCCA